ATGGTTTACACAACTGATTGAGCCATTATCCAATTGATTCAAGCATTATCCAAACCAAATTTCCATTTTGGGAAGAAAGTAACCATTCCATTCTTGTAAAGATCACTTTAATCACAAAGTCAACTTCTTGAGCCTCTAACTTGTTTCTTCTGCACACTTTTAACCTACTAGGTCATAAGAAACATGTTTAAAGTGTTCAGCCACTCTAGAGGTCCTATTACAAGCATTGGAACCATGTTCGTCAATGTTGCTTTAAAAACAAGGCAAATCCACAAACATGTAATTCTTGATTTCTGACTTCTCCAAGCATCCAAACTTATTGCTTATAAATAGAGACAATATTTGTGAGCTAAAAGAACGAATACACAAGCCTTCAAACTCCCTGAAACACTCCCAAACTCAGAATTATGCAAAAATCACCATTGTTGTCATTTTTGGCCAAGAAACTTGAAACACAAAATCCACTTGTGCGTTTCTTTGCCAAACCCTCCACAAAGCTTCTATACCTCAAATATAACTCAACCAAACACCTGTTAAATTTCTGTAACATCATCTTCTCCATCTCCCATAACCAAAAACAAAGGTTTTCATCTTGACTTCTCCAGGCCATTTCAGCCACTCTCAACTCAAGCTAAGTATTACATTAGCTTACTAGGGACTCAAGGAAGCTAACCTGATCATTGCAGCACCTTGAATCAAGCTCATTTGCAAAACACGAATTCCATTTTTGAGGTAATTTTTCTGACTTTTGAAATCTTCATATAGGAATTGTTAACTTTCCATTTTCAAAGACAAAATGCAGATATCATAGTCCCGAAGATGACCATGTCTTTAGAGTTCATTTATATTTCTTGAGTAGTGAGAATTTTAATTTTGAACTTTCTGAAAAAGTTAGGTTAGAATTTGGTACCATTAGAAATTCTCATTCATCTTTGATTTATAGCATATGATATTTATATGGTTGGATTCGTATGGAAAAATGGAGCAACTTTCATGTTTACATTTTTCATTTTTGTTGAGAGATGAGTAAGTTACAGGATTTAAAAAAAATGGATGTTTAGTATGGCACGAGGAAGAAGAAGATAACAACCATGGAGTTGTTTTGAAATATAATGCAGTGATTTTGTTTTAATAAACTGATGTATCACCATCCCAGTGGTTAAAGCCCGTGTTTGTTACCCTTTAAGACTTGGGTTCGAGCCTCAGTGTCTATTTTATTATTTTTCACATTTTTTCTGTTTCTTTTTTTGTTTGCAGTCAGCGCGCCTAGGCCTCCTCTCAATGGGTCTTTGTCATTTTTACTCTCTCTAACCCCCTTGTCTACTTATAACACGCTGTCCATTTGTTTTTTTAATTATTTTTATTTATTCTGATTAAAAAAACCATATTCGGGCCTAACTTCCAAAAATTTATTTTCTCTTCTAAACTCCCAAATTCCATTTCAGACCCCCTTGACTTAATTTTTTATTATTATTTTCTTTTCTTTTATTTATTTTTATTATTAATAATATTATTTTTATTTTTATTTTTATTAAATCAAAAATCCCAAAAAAATATTTTATATTTTATTTAGAATATTTTAGTATTTTATTTCTTTTAAAGCAAAAAGACCAAAAATATATTTTCTTATTAAATTTAATTTCTTTTCTTAATTAAATAATTTAGACTTAGGTTTATTTAAATCTTTCTTTTCATTTAATCAACTTAGAACTTAGGAATTTTTATTAATTAATTTCTTGCTTTTATCAACACTAAAAACCTTTTTCATAAAAACCCTAAAAATATTTGTTTTCTTAATTATTTTACTTCTCCTTAATTAAGTTAGGTTTAGTTCTCTTAAAGTAATCTAGACTAATTAGTTATTTTCTTTTTAGTTTAATTAGGTTAAACCCTTTCACAAAAATCCAAACAAAAACAATTTCATTTTTCTTTCATATTGCCTTTACATTCTTGTACATTATTTTTTCATTCAATATGGTTGTAATAGTAAAATTATGTTTTATTTGCTTTTATCTCCCCATTTGTAAATTTGTACCCCCATCCCCAAATGATGTAATAGCGTAGAATTTTACATTTCCGCAATTTATCGCTTTCAATATAAAATACTAGTAATTAGGGTTTGTATGGAAAGACATAAAATCAACAAATATAAAGCCCTAATTCAAAGACAAAAAAGCATGAAAGCAAACACTTAGCACACTTGCACCTCTAGGGTTAACCTTACTTGTTGCCTAAGATAAAAATAGTCATGTTACACAAACGTGGGATACCTTAGTAAAAACAATAAAAAAAAAAGATCATAGTCCATCGATGGCCCTTCAAATGTTGCCTTTATAAATGATCTTAGACCCTTACAAAAATTGCTAAGATATCCTACAATATTGCTTTCTACGACTATACGATGATCCACGCTCGTCCCTTCACATCCGATGATAGGGCTTTTTAGCAATCAATGGTAAGATAGTAATATCTAAAGGAGGAGGAAAAGAAATAAGACTTTTTGAGTAGGTAGAACGTTCATAGTTGCTTGCTCACAATCATTTTCAAAATATCTTTCAAACACACCAACACTTTCAAATGAAATATTTTCAAAGGTCAACACTTTGTATACATTCTTATAGAGACGAGAATCATTACAAAGTTCGCCTAAACGAAGGCACTTTTCAAAAATACTTTCAAACAAACCACAAACACATTTTCAAATAAAGCATTTCAAAGTGATCTAGCAACTAAGAGCCCGTAGATAACTACGGATGAAAAGGGTGCTAACACCTTTCCTTTTCATAATCTACCCCCTGAACTCAAGAAAATTCTCAAAAGGTCTTTCTTGTTCTTTTCACCATTTCCTTTATTGAATAAAAGAAAAGTCGGTGGCGACTCTTGCTATCCACAACAATTGCGATAAAACGTAAAACACCCAAGTCAGTTCTCCCATCATATTACACTCTAACACTATGCACTAAGTGCTTTATTTATAATACACTTACCCTTAGCCTTAGCCTTATCTTTACCATTTACTTTCCCCTTTTGTTTACCTTCCTCTATTGTTTCTTCTTCTAACACTTCATCAATTCCAACTGAAATCTCTTCATTCATTCCATATCATCCCCTGAATCCTCAAAGTTAGCTTCTAAAGCACTATCTTCACTAGCATCACCAGTTCATTGGTTATAGTCCAATCCTGCATCTTCTTGTTGATTACATTCAAGTCCCTCATGCACTTCCTGACTGAAGTCAAAACCATCCTCTTCATCATGGTTACAATCCAGTCCTTCCACTTCTTTCTAATTGCAATTAAGTCTCTAATCTAGTTTCAGGTTCAAGTCAAGTCTCCATTCATTTCAGTGGTCCCATCAACACCATAATATCATTCTCCAACAATTATCTCTCCCACGGTGATGACATTCTCAGTGGTATCCCCCTAATTACTCTCTTCACCCAATTCAATGGTCTCATCTAACTTGTCTTTTACTTTATTATTCAATTTCTCCAATTTGTCTTATACTACATTACTCACTTTATCCATATTGTCTTTTTGCACATTATTCCCCATCTTTTCATTGGATTCTACAACATTATACTCAAGTGAAAGTATTAGCTTTTCAATGATATCAGGTTATAGAAATATATGGAGAACGTATAAATGTACATTCTCATTAACCACTGTAATGGTTTTCATCCTCTTTGTACACATGTCATCTTTTAATAGTACAATTTCATTAATCTCAGTTGCATCATGATACCACAAGCTATCCACCATCAGATACATTAACTATTTCAAACCACTCAAGACTTCAAAATAGCTCTAGTAATTAGGGTCACATTTCTAAACCTCCTATAATCCTTGATAACCTAATCTCGTAAACTCATCCGCATGATGCTTAACAACCTCAAAATTGTTATCCATTCCTTATTCAAGTAAAATAATGTCTACGAGATAAGTTATGAAAAGGAAGCAATCAGAAAGTTAAGATTTTTAACATACAATAACAATGTTAAACTGTAGAAATCATAAAGTATACTTGTTTTAAACCTACCTTTTAAAGAATGGAAATGAGCAATGTCTCTCTTCGAGCATGTTCCTCTTTTAGGATTTTTAGGGTTTATGACTCCCCTTCGCCTTCACACTTTAGCAAACGGATTTTTGTCTACCTCACACTTCTGAACAATATTTTTTCGTCTATATACACACTTCACACCACAAATTTTCATCTTCCCCAACTAGAGCTAGAGTTTCTCCGCCTCTTCCACTTTGTATTCTCTTAATATTCTTTTGGTTGGCTTTCAACAATGAACTAGGTTAATTCATTTCGAAATTAAACGAGTTCATATAAATTCATTTATAATTATATATTGTAAATAACCAAAAATGTCATGTTAGATAAATATATTCAATTAAATGGGCACATCTTTAAAACTTACTGCTTTTTCTCTAAAATTTGACGGAAGGAACAAATAGACTCATCGAAATGATTTTAAAAAACTACCTTATAATGTTTTTTAATTAAAAATCTAAAATAAAATATTAAAGAATTTAATTGGAATTCAGTACACAGTCAATGAATGATAATCGTTAGATTTTAAATTAAATTTGACTTTTATTTTAATTAATAAAGCAATATTTATAGGTGGTGGTGATAAATTGATGGTACAAAACTTTTTACATTGACAATGAATAACAATTAATCTCAATATTAAATGAGAATAATATTCATACACACATTCCACGAATAAAAACTCAACAATTAAAGTATGGTATAACTGAATACATGGTACTTGTGATTAGTTGAAGGTATGAATGCATCACTTGTTTTCTCATATTAAATTAACTTAAAAGAGACTAAAACTTAAAAAAATTTACAAACCAAAACAAATAAAATAAAATTTGATTAAAAGATTCATAACGATTAACGAAACTCTTCTTCTAACTGATTCAGGTAAAAGAACAAGAGTTATTTTAGCATCGAACAAAACCGTGGCAAACTGTTTCAGAAACTGTGATGAAGAACCTCCACCACCACCTCCACCACCACCTCCACGCCCTCCCTTTCCTCTCCTCCGACACCCAAATCCTCCACCTCCTAAAAAGCGGCGCCCTCTCCCAAGCCCTGACGCTCCTCAACACCTCCCAACCCACCCTCTCTCTCAAACCCGTCATCTACGCTTCCCTCCTCCAAACCTGCGTCAAAACATCCTCCTTCCACCACGGCACCTCCGTCCACGCCCACGTCCTCAAATCCGGACTCCACTCCGACCGCTTCGTCGGCAACAGCCTCCTCACTCTCTACTTCAAACTAAACCCCGGCCCCCGTTTGTCCCACGCCCGTCAACTCTTCGACTCACTCTCCGTCAAAGATGTCATCTCATGGACTTCTCTCATCTCCGGTTACACCCGCAACAACCTCCCACATCACTCCATTTCTCTCTTCCATCAAATGTTAACCTTTCCCATTCAGCCCAATGCTTTCACTCTCTCTTCCGTTATCAAAGCATGTTCCATGCTTAACAACCTAACCCTCGCTCGTTGCTTTCATTCCTTGGTTATAACACGTGGCTTTGATTGGAATACTGTTGTTACTTGTTCGTTGATTGATATGTATGGTTGGAATCGCGCCGTTCAGGATGCACGAAAGGTGTTCGATGAATTGAATGAACGAGACGATGTGTTTTGTTGGACTTCCATTGTGTCTGCGTATACGCGAAATGATATGTTTAAAGAGGGGTTGAGGTTGTTTTATGTTATGAATAGGGTTCGTGGGTTGGTTCCGGATGGGTTTACGTTTGGGACGGTCTTGACTGCTTGTGCTAATTTGGGGTTGTTGAGGCAAGGGAAGGAGGTTCATGCTAAGGTTGTTGGTTTGGGTTTTGGTGGGAATGTTGTTGTGGAGAGTAGTTTGTTGGATATGTATGGGAAATGTGGGTGTGTTAGGCTTTCTAGGATTGTGTTTGATAGGTTGAGTGATGATAAGAATTCAGTGTCTTGGACTGCGATGCTTGGTGTGTATTGTCAGAATAAGGAGTATCAGAATGTGCTTGGTCTTGTTCGGGAGAGGGGGGTTGTGGATTTTTATGCGTTTGGGATTGTTCTTCGTGCGTGTTCGGGGTTGGCTGCGGTGAATCATGGGAAAGAGGTTCATTGTAAATATGTTAGGGAAGGTGGTTGGAAAGATGTTATAATTGAGTCTGCGTTGGTTGATTTGTATGCAAAATGTGGTATGGTTGATTTTGCACGTACGGTGTTTGTGCATATGGAGGTTAGGAATTTGATCACGTGGAACTCGATGATCAGTGGGTTCGCGCAGAATGGAAGAGGGGTTGAGGCGTTGGCGTTGTTTGAGGATATGATTAAGGAAGGGATTAAACCTGATTCCATCACTTTTGTTGCGGTTCTCTTTGCTTGTTGTCATGCGGGTTTGGTTGATGAAGGGAAAAGGTTTTTTGTTTTGATGGGGGAATATGGGATTAAGCCTGTAGTGGAACATTATAATTGCATGATTGATCTTTTGGGACGTGCTGAGTTTATAGAGGAGGCTGAGTGTTTGTTGGAAAATGCAGATTGCAAATATGATAAATCACTTTGGGCAGCTCTTCTTGGAGCTTGTACTAAAGGTTCTGACTATGACACTGCCGAACGTGTCGCAAAGAAGATGATTGAATTGGAGCCTAACTTCCATTTGAGCTATGTTTTGCTTGGTAACATTTACAGAGAAGTTGGCCGGTGGGACGATGCTGTAGAGATCAGAAAGTTGATGGAAGATAGAGGAGTTAAGAAGTTACCTGGTAAGAGCTGGATTGATAGTGAAAATTGGAAGGGTTCTCGTGTGAACGTTTATACCGAAAAAAGTGTTTCTAGCACGCGGGAAGCTATTTCATGACCAACGTTCTAAACTGTGGTCATATAGTTGCAATTAGATTTAACTCTTGTTAAGTCATTGTTGCAGTTACACTATGACTCTTTAAATTTCAGATAAATGCAACAAATGTGGCTGCAACTTCTTTTACAGTGTAGCTGAAACCGTAAACGCAGTATTCTAGCACGGGAGAGGCAGCGTGGTCATTGAAATTGGCAGATTGTTGGAAGTATATGCCTTATAACCTAATTTTTTCCCTTTTGGCAATGTTGAGCTAACAGGTTAACTACTAGAAGTCTAGAACCATCGGCTTCATGTAGATTATAAAAAGATTCTATAGTGTTGTTTTAAACAATGATAATTTTTTGCTAACCTACAAACTGACTACAATTGAGCTTAAAGCCAGCATCTAATAGTTTTTGTTGTCTGGTTGGAGAGATCACCATGAAAAGGCCTGCTGAATTCATCAGCCGCTATTGTCAGATGAAATGTATAGAGTTATTACATCTTGATCATGTTAGTTGATTTGCATAATTAATAATTATGTGCTTTCATGACTAAGATGGCCTGGTTATTGCGGAACTGATGAGAATGATTTCACTTGCTAATTCTTCACATAGTAGGTTACGTAGGTGCAAACTATTTGCTCCTTACAAATCAAGCATGCTGAGTTTTGTTCTTGTTTTTACCGGAGCGTTGACTCGGGAAGTTGGGACCACTTGATGATGCAAAAAGCCTCATAACAATTGGGCCTGGCTGTCAGTCGGACATGATTGGCAGGGATGGGGAGGAGCACTTGAGAATGGAGGGGATTAGAAACGCTGCTGCTGGAAGTGGGATTATTGGTGGTAATTCATGGTCAAGGATGCATTTGAGGTACAAACTTACAGAGAAAAGGAAGCACAAAAGGTTCAAGAGTTTTGCTCTTCTTAAGGGAATTCTTTTAAGAGTTTAATGTTATACACTATCATTGTAAATTAATTTTACACTTACATCCAATTAATTTTACCATGTCACGCCCCAATTTTAAATTTTAGTTACGAAAGTGGGATGATACGGTTAAACAATCTATTCTCATTATACCTCAGTGTAAAGTCCCATTTTCTCTTCTTTTTTTATCTTAAGAATCCAAAATGGTGCATCTCAATCTGAGGTTGTAAAGGAGCTTGCTCTGCATGTTTATTCCTTCCCTCAAAATTTAGGGGAAGGATCTGGTGACTTTAGCCTAGCTACCTTTATGTAACTTTAGGCAAATTTTAGTATTTTTTTTTTAAATATAAAATAAAATAAAAATAAAAAATCAGATGAGAAAATTGTAGGTAGTGTGTCTTTAGCGCGCTATTTAGTGTTCTTTAAATAGTATATATTCTTTTTACCTTTGTTTCCTTTCCATTGTTAGTAGCTGATTTTGTTACGTGAATTATTAAAAATCTCTTTTTTCCCTTCCCTAATGAAGCTGCTAGTCATGATTCTTGATCCCTAGTCTCTTGCAATATGTAATAGCAGAACAAAACAAGATGCCTAAGATAACCTTCTTAATAAAGCCTAGATATGGGTATGGGATAGATCAGGTGCGTGGTGTGGGACTTGAACTGTCAGGGACTTACTGATCTAGGTTTTTTATACCAATCTTTTGTTAGAGAATGAAACTTATATATTATTTTCAGATAATCCAAAAATTTCTATTTGTTAAGACAATATTATATATATTATAAAATGTATCAATACATAAATAAGTAAAGGATGGCATCAATATCATTAATATTAATATTAGGGTAAATTACATCCATCTCATTTAAATTCTATTAAAATGACACTAACATCTCTTCTAATTTTAAAATATGTTTAGACCTCCGCTAAAGTCTATTAGTGTGACATTGACCCATTTCTTGTTTTTAGTGACAGTCAAAAACCATAGATATATATGATATTTATTTATGGTTTTTGGTCTCTCACTAAAAATTTCCGTTGGCATATATATGTTTAAAGAAGGTTAGTGTATGTTTTAAAAAAATAGAGGGTATCAATGTCATTTTAACAAACTTTAGGAGAGATGAGTGTAATTGTCCCTTAATATTAATAATAGTAGCGATTACAAAAGTATACATTAATATTTACAAATAATAATAGTTATTTACGTGAATTTATATTTAAAATTATTTTAGATTTTATAATTTCACTTTCAAACTCTATTAAAATTATAGGGAATTTCTTAACCCATCCTACATACCTGAGAAACATCCTATGTAATTTCAAAAATGATTTTCAATTTTTGGAGATGTATCTCCGGACGCATTTGTATTTGTTAAATGTTAGATTGTTTCGGAGATGCATCTTCGGACGGACCTTTATTTATTAAACGTTAGATTGTTTCAGAGATGCATCTCCGTAAAATATTCAGAGATGTATCTCCGTAATAAGTGCAGACAATAAATTTTAAGTATTTTTAAGTTATTCTCATATCAAATAGTCATAAGGCATACTATGATTTGACAATACTGAGGCTATGAAGAAAATGACATATATAAAGTTATAAGTTAAGAGTACGTAAATCCAATTCAAAAGTTATAACAGAGTCGATAAATAAAATACAACAAGTACATGTATATAATCTATTGTGTATGACGGACTCGGACTCGTCCTCGTGCCCCCTGTTCCTATGTTGACTCCTATACTGCAGTGCCTCCCTCGCCTCCACCATCATGGCATCTACAACGCCCCTCGCCACAGAACCATCTGGAAAGAGTCCTCCGTCAATACATGTCTGCCAAATCTTCATGATATGACGACATCTAGGCAATACATCAACAACATGATTTGCCCTAGCCTACTCCTCCTCTAGTATCTCCTGATGAGTTGACCTCTGGATCTTCTGGAGCATCTTGCACCATATAAGGATGTGACACCTAGAAGAACCATCAGATGTAACTGTCTACGTAACTCAAGTCACTCTCAGCTATGGTACTATATGCATCCTCTGGTACCAGATGATTAACATAATCATCAAACATAACATCAATATCTCTATGCTTCACAGTGGGAGGAACAGGCACAGAAGGATCTCTAAAAATATACTGCATGTAACCAAACGGACGCATGACGCGCTCAGGCAAATGAGGAAACATCAAATGTGACCTACAAGCCACCCATCCCGACTATAAGACTATGTCTTCAAAGGGAATCATCTCATGGTGATCGACGTAATAATGGAATTGTATATCCTTTGCTACTAAGCGATCAATATACATTTTGAATGGTTCTGTCGCCTAGTTCCTTTTGAGCATGGAGAATGCAGAAGCATGTGGCATATCTTCAATATAAGTTGATAGAAGTGACCAACCGGAGATGTGTGGGAATATGACATCCACGTAAGTGGCACTCTTGTTCGCAAAAATGGCAGTACCGACCAAATACAAGTATGCTCTCATATCATACGCTCCATGTTGTCGTACTTGCTTGTTATCACTAACAACTTATTATGCTCTCAGTATATCATCTGTAAACACCTTCTTCAAGAAGCTAAACCTAGCATGAGCCCCTCGGGTGAAATCAAACACCTTAATGGCAGCTTCTGGGTCAACTCCTATATAGTATACCATTAACTTCAGTGCCTCGTCTTTGGTAACCTTCCTATGATCTAAAAGTTCTCCCCTAACCGGAAGATGCAGTAGACATGAGACATCGTCTAGTGTGATAAACATCTCACCATGTGGTAGATGAAATAATGACGTCTTTGGGTGTTATCTATCTACAAATGCATTAAGCATATCCTGGTTAACTGTAACATAACCAGTATTGCACAAGTTTTGCATCCCTGATAGTTGCAAAACTTCTTAAAACCACAACTCGTTAGACAGATTCAGGCCAGTAATCTTTTGCCCATGGTTGATAAATTTTAGTGGATCATGTTCCCGCATACATAGTTTAATAAAAATGATTTCAATAAACATAATTTAATATTACAACAAACACAAATTCAAATGAACAATTCCAACTAAATTTCACTTATTTTTCCCAAATATGTCTGGCAGCATGGTCTAGGTAAAGAGAAAGCAGTGATAAGTCTGACAGGTCTCCTCTAAAACCCTGAGGTACCTCAAGTGCCCCTTGGTCCTGGTGTAATACCCCAAATTTGTCCTACCCTTCTACTTTTATCTGGTTTATGCATTGTCGCGCTTTTCTCATGTACATATCTCGATTAGGTCATTTAACATTGTATACATTCGCTAACAACATAATTTGGCATGGAATCAGTGATATGATGGAATTAGGGTTTTTATGGCTTTGATGGTCCTCATCTTCACTCAGGCTTGAATCAGTTGGTTTCCCAGTAACTGTGGTTTATGGAACTAGGGTTTGGATTTTTAATTATTGTGAACCTCTCCCCCATCAAGCTATAAGGCTGTCATCCTCGTCAAGGGAAGGATCACTAGGGTTTCACTAAAGGTTTAAGTAAAGATTATGTGAACCAAGGTCTAAATTCAAAGTCATCTTGAATATCTTCTTCAGGGGTCCAAGACGTCGTTATTCTAGTGCTCATATAGTCGGGACATGGTACAAGATGTGGATTGTAATCAAGGTGTCATTATTTCAAATACTTGTTGCTTGACACACAAGTTTGGTTTATATTGAGGAAGTGAATTGAATTAGGGATTCATTGAAGTTGTAATTTGATTGGAACTCGTTCATTAAGATGTGAAGAGGATTTGGGGTGAATAAAAGTTCTTAAATATTTGTATGGGATTTCTTAGAATAAAAAGGCATGTATCAAATTCATTTGTTTCATCCAACAATCAAAGTGTCATCCAGACAGTCATTCAAGAACTCATCAAAGATTCAAGTCTCTTCGTGATTACCTCGCAAAAATTTTGGATTCGTGCCATGATTATTTGAATTCATACAAAGGCGTCTAAAGGGAATATTGAAGGGAAAGGAATTTGGAAGTTCAAAATCAATTTGAAAGTTCAAGGTTACAAATGAATTACATCATCCAATTTTCAAGTTACAATTCATTAAGGCTTCCATTTATTCAAGTTCCAAAATACATTACAAATATCCAACACCATTTACAATATCCAAAAACATACTACAAAAATGAGAAATACACTTAAGGATGCATTTATTGATTCTCATCATCGCTTTCTGTGTGGCCTTGTCGTGTTTGAAATGCAACCTTAGTTTGCTTCCATCTTCATTACCTTCTTCATGACCAAACCGGTGTATTGTAACTTGCCATGATCTATGCCTGTTATTTCAATCCAAAGCAATCCTGAACGTTTACACAACAAAAAGAAACAGTTATTATCAATTCTCAACAAACTGCTAACAGAATGAAAAAGCCTATAACAGAATAACCAATTCCAAACAACCTTTTTCCCTAACCATATTCTCCATAACCTGTAATAGAAGACTAACAAAACCAAACAGAATAACCAACCAACTGTCAAACAACCTAACCAATTCCTAACAGAACTCCGAACAAACCAAAACAGAATTCACTACCAGTAACCAAAACAGAATTTTTTATAAAACATTCTCTAACCAACTCATAACAACCCTAACAGAAACTAACAAAGCTAACTGGTTCCTCCACTCAACTAATTCTAACAGAATCATAACAGAAGGAGAAGAGAGAGGATAACAGAAAGAGAACAAAACAGATTCGCAAAAGAAAAACTCACAAAAAAAAATCCCCTGCTCTCTCTCGGAAACCTCCATCTTCATCTTCTCTCTGCATTTTCTCCATAACCAAACCTTCACAAGTCTTTGAAAAATCAGAAGCCGTATCCCTGCTTCAAGCTTCAAGCAACAGGAACCACACCATTGCTCCATCGTTATCACCTATCTTGCATCAAGCTTCATCACATAACTCTGCAACCATAAGAGAATTCCGCATAGTCACTCATCTTCAACATCATGAATCTGCAACAACAGAAAAACGCATCAATTCAGACG